TGAGTGTGGTGACCCCAGAAAAAAACAATGCCGAGCGCGAGAACCTAGGCAAAACACTTAATGAAAAAATTTCATCAATGCATGAAGAACTTTAGTTGCAAAATCATTAAATGAAGGATACTTAGCACCAACAAATTAAGCACCTATGCATTGGGATCTTTAGTTGCTAAAGTATTTAATATGCTTAGCACCTCATGTAAGCACCAATGCATTGGAAGCAGCCTCCAACGAGATTTGGGTCAACAAGCTGGCATCGGGTGACCTGCTTGATCACTCTTATATCTCATAGCAGCTGCAATTTTCGTCGCGCCAGTGTTGTCATAGGACCCAATTTTGCGACGCAATCGGCCGTATAATTTTCAATGAATGCTCGGTATATGAACGACAAAATTGTCTTTGTATATTTTCGCAAGATGCACATTTACAAAACCACCACTTGATTTTTTTTTCCTACTAAACACGTATTAGAAATCTCATTGATTGTGAACCAATCTATGGTTGGATGGTTAGAGGGAGGGACTGTGGTATCCCTAGCCCATCAAGGTTCAAATCATGATGCTCGCATTTATTTTTGTATTTATTTTAGAATTTCCGGCAATGCACATTCAGTGGGAGGAGACGTTCCCGTTGAAGACGAAGTGTCTACGATGGCTTCGTAAATTTCAAGATGATATGCCGACTCGGTATTTCAAAGGTGCTCATAGGGATATGATGTGCGTGTGTGCGTTCATAGAGGTGAGTGTATGCACGTGTATATGAGCGCTTGCGTTTGTACCGTGTTAAAAAAAAGAAATCTCATTGATTCTTACACTAGTCAAATCTCAATAAACCGTGCATAATTTTAACATTTTTTTGTCCACAAGCAATGTAAAGCTATATGGATCGACCAGTGGCCTCTTAAATTGGCCTTCGGGCCATAGGGGCCGGATCAAAGGCCAGGTTTGGATCGGCCCATTCCCACCCCGACCCAACCATGTTCTTGTTCCCATCTCCAGGGTCCTATGTGCATAAGACCACCTTTCTTAGCTGGGGTACGACCACGTTTGGGGCGGTCAGGCACGAACTGAGGAAGCTTCGCAAGAGGCTAGTAGAGCTGAGAGCCATCGTTGGCAGAGTGGGACCAAGTTATGAGGAACTGAAGGTAGAGCAGCGTATGATTGAGCTGCATTTTAGGGAAGAAACTATGTGGCGACAGAGATCTCGAGTGCAATGGCTGCTCGAGGGAGACCACAACACAAATTTTTTTCAGCAGAAAGCATTTATGAGGAAGAAGAAAAACAGAATAACGCGTCTTGTGCGTGAGGATGGGTCTGTATGCGAGGATCAAGCTGAACCGGAGAACATGTCGATAAATTTTTATGAACACTTGTATGCGTCTGATGGGGTAGTTGGAATAGAAGAGGTGTTATCTCATGTACCCTGTAAAGTTAATGATTCTATGAATGAGAGGCTAAATTCCCCCTACACGGAATCAGAGGTTAAAACGGCCCTATTCCAAATGTTTCCAACAAAATCACCGGGGCCCGATGGTTTCTCGGCACACTTTTTCCAGAAGCATTGGCGTTTGTGTGGTGAGGAGGTTACTAGGATTGTAATCCGGATTTTGAAGGGAGAAGAGTCACCAGAGGAGATTAACAAAACGTTCATCGTTATTATCCCTAAGGTACAAAACCCTACTTCTCTGACTCAGTTTCGACCTATTAGCTTGTGCAATGTGATTTTCAAGATCGCATCAAAGGTACTTGCTAACCGTCTAAAGCAGATTCTCCCTGAGATTATTTCCGAAGAACAATCAGCGTTTGTGCCCGGGAGGCTCATCACTGATAATGTCATCGCAGCTTATGAGTGCTTACACTATATGAAGAATAATAGGAGTAAGAAGAACTCTCATTGTGCCAATAAAGTAGACATGCAAAAGGCTTATGACAGGTTGGAATGGGTATATCTGGAGGCAATCATGCGGAAAATTGGTTTGTGTGACTCCTTTGCGAGTGCAGTTATGAGAGGAGTTCGGTCTATTTCATTCTCTTTGCTTTTCAATGGCAATCGAACAAGAGAATTTATCCCATCAAGGGGAATAAGGCAGGGGGATCCTATTTCTCCCTATCTGTTTCTGCTGGCAGGTGAAGGCCTTTCTTGTTTGATCAAGCATGCCAGCAATGAGGGAGTGCTTCAAGGGACAACAATTGCACCTCAAGCCCCAACGGTCCATCATCTTTTATTTGCTGATGATTGTATACTTTTTTGCAAAGTTAAGAATGATGAGGTGGAGGCGCTCAAGTCTGTCCTGGATAGGTATTGCGGAGCATCTGGACAACGTATAAATGTTGACAAGTCAACAATGTAGTTTGGTAAGGGCTGCCCGGAATCAGCAAGGAATGAGATCAAGGGAATTCTGGAGGTGCATAATGAGGCACTCAATGAAAAATATTTGGGGCTACCTACGGATATGGGGGGCTCCAAAAAATGGTGTTTTTAGCTATCTAAAAGACCGTATATGGAAGAGGGTGTAAGGATGGATCGAGAAAACTTTAGCGGGGAGTGGGAAAGAAGTGCTCATAAAATCAGTTGTGCAAGCAATTCCCACCTACTCGATGGCAATATTCAAATTACCACGGGGACTTTGTCAGCACTTGACGTCTATTATCCGCAAGTTATGGTGGGGAAGTAAGTCAGGTGAAAGGAAGACGACATGAGTGGCATGGGATGACAATGCCGAAATATAAAGGGGGTCTTGGCTTCAGAGATTTGGAAATATTTAACCTAGCCCTGTTAGCAAAACAGGCCTGGAGAATCCTCCAGGAACCAGACTCCTTGAGTGCTCGAATTTTAAAGGCAGTTTACTTTCCGTCCTCGGATATTCTTTCAGCCGACGTGGGGAGCCGCCCATCACATGTATGGAGATCAATTTGTGAAGGCCGCGACATCCTCAAGGTTGGCCTTATACGGCGAATAGGGGATGGACTCTCAACGAGTGTGTGGAATGAAAATTGGATCCCAAGGGACTATCACTTGCGTCCCATTTGTCCTATTTCTGATGTTCCAGTGGAAGTAGTTTCAGACCTCATATGCCTAGCCACAAGGAGCTGGAACATGACAGTACTGCAGCATCAGATGTTGCCTATGGACGTTGAGGCGGTCAAGAAAATCCCAATTAGTCACGTACTGCAGCCAGACTTTTGGGCTTGGCACTACGAACGATCGGGCTCTTTCTCAGTGCGATTAGCTTATAAGCTTGTTGTAGAAACGAAAAAGCGCCGAGAAGCTTGGCTCACTTGCGAGGCTGAGGCATCAAACACAGAACAAGAAGAGAAGTCAGTGGAAGAAGCTTTGGTCAGTACAGGTTCTGCCGAAAATTCTAATGTTCTCCTGGCGGTTAGCTCGATCGTCCCCGCCCACCGGGGAGGAGCGGGCGAGGCATCAAATGGCTACATCGGCGACATGCATTATTTGTGGCGCAGCGGAGGACTCTTGGCGCCATGCACTGCTGGACTGCAACATGGCCAAGTCAGTATGGTCGCTCCGTGAGGATGATGTGATCATCCCTTGGGTGGGAGATGAAACTCCGAATGCGAAATTATTGATGTTTAACCTTACCAAAACGTTGAAGGAGGATCGGTTCGTGGAGGTTCTAGTGACATTATGGGCACTATGGTGGGCTCGACGCAAGGCGATCCACGAGCAAGAATTCCATAGCCCATTGTCCACACATCTCTTTATTAGTAGGTATTTGGATGACGTGCGAGGAAGTCAGAGGAGCCAAAGTAGAAGTTATTGTTCACCTACCATTCGAGCTCCTCAAGCATGGAAGCCACCGCTCATGGGACATGCAAAGCTTAACGCTGATGCAGCAGTGGCAAAAAATACAAACAAAGGAGCCGCGGGAGTTGTGTGTAGGGATGAACATAGAAATTATCTGGGGGTTTTTGCGGTTGTTTTTGAAGGTTTGACGGAGCCTGAAACTTTGGAAGCGTTTGCGTGTCGAGAAGCTCAAGCCCTAGGTGAGGATTTGGCACTTCGCAAGATCCATGTCGCTACCGACTATCTGAGAGTCATACATGAGCTTAAGGAGACAGAGCAGTGTGGTGAATACTGTATGATAGTGAAGGAGATTAACTCTCGTAGATCCGTTTTTTTGGCATGTGAAATATGCCACGAGCAGCGCGAGTACAATTTTGAGGCTCATACTATTGCTAAGATGGCTGCTAGCTTGGATGTGGGACGTCATTTGTGGCTCTCCAATCCTCCTAGTAACCTTTGTATCCCACAAACCTTGTTTGATTGAATTAAAAGCGTTGTTTCGTCTCAAAAAAAAATGTGCATAAGAGCGGACGCGTGTGCAATTTTAGTTTTGTCAGGGTTCTCTTTGCAATGATGTAAACACCGGCTTCGGGGATCTTCGGATCCCTGCTGCCATTTCTTGAAAAATAAAAATCGAAATCGCGGCCCTGGGGTTCAAGGAAGGAACAAACCCCACCGATAGGGTTTAACAAGAAGGTTAGGAGAGCAGCCGCCGTCCCGGAGGCCGGAGTCCCTCGCCGCCGAAACCCCCTCCTCCCTCCGCTCCCGCCAAATCACCCCTGCTACGACCGAAATCCCTTTCACTCGCACCGGCGGCGTGGCCCGGACGCGAATCCCCTCTTGCCGGCGGCGTGGTCCGGACGCGATTCCTCTCGCCGGTAAGGATCATGGACCCCTGCCTTTGCTCGTAGCACTGTTCGTCCCGCTCCTGCCTTTTCGTTGCCCTCAAACATTCGAATCGAACCACGCCAGCCGTGCATTTCGGGTTCCATTTCCTGCATCTAAAGCGAATTAGTGCTTCCGAGATTCCGCGTCAATAGCCCTCTCCTAATAGCGGTTTGATTTGAGAAAATTCGGGGGTTCGACTGGATCCCCATTCGGGGTTTATCCTTCTGCGTTAGCAACCGTGAATCTGTCTCATGCAAGGTTTTTTGTTCTTCTTCTTCAGTGCCCGTGGTCTGTAGCAGGGGACTTGTGCGATGGCTTTTGCTAGTAGGATGGGGATTGTGCTGAGGAGGGCCTCCGGGTCCTCGAATTCGTCGCTGCTCCAGGCAGTAAGGTGCATGTCTTCTTCCAAGCTTTTTGTTGGAGGTATGCTCATATGAGATCACTGTTCTAGCTCCTTCTGATTCGAAGGTTCGTGGGTATTATTGATGCCGGCGAATTATCTAATTACATGTATGGTCTACCGCCTTTCAGGACTATCATATGCCACAGATGACCCAACTCTCAGGGATGCCTTTTCTGGCTATGGGGACGTCATTGAAGGTTGTTCTCCCAATTGGTGTGGCACATTTGATGTATATTTTTGCCATGTTGTTAACACTTTTTTCTTTTCGGATTGGGTTCAGCTAGAATCATCATGGACAGGGAGTCTGGCAGGTCAAAGGGATTTGGATTTGTTACTTATGCATCCACCGAAGCTGCCGCGGCTGCCATTAGTGCCATGGATGGCAAGGTGATTTTAGAGAGATCCCCTACGTGTTATTGCGGATATGCTATGACATTTTCATGCCTAATGTTCCACTTATATCCTCTACACCACTTTGCAAATATAGTCCCAAATTTCAGGTTGCCCTTTTTTGCTTTAGGAGTGTAGCTTGTCCTGTTGTCTATTCATTGTTCTTGTTTGCTGCCTTTTTTACATGACACTTGTCATGCGCTGCAACTGCCAAACTGTTTTATCAACACAATGATGCAATATAATTAGCGTTACTTCATTGTTGTCTTGATCTAAAGTGGAGATGTCTGAATTTGCATTGATTCACTGACCATTAAACTGTGCCGCTCATCAATTTATGTTCTGCCACGGATAATGGCAAGCACCTTCCCTTTTCCTGCCTTAGTTCACGACATACCTTCATACAAACATCAGCTCTATGAGTATTGACCCAATTATATGCTAGAGCTCCAGATCTTTGACATTTTGAGCACCATATTGTTGTTAATCCATTGTTGTAATTTCAAAGAATCCGAAGCTGTTGGCACTTGTTTCCTAGATGCATCATCCCAGATGTTAATAGATCGCATGATTCATGAACTGATGAACACCAGGGAATGCATGTTTAGGGAGTTGCAGACTATTCTCAATTTTGGCATATCGTTGCATGAGATAACTGTTCCTGTAAATATTTGAATTATTTTGACTTAATTTATGTCTAGGATATCTTGCTGAGCTGTAAAAGTGACCTCCCCTGATTCTTGCGGAAATGTTCTACCATCAGAACTTGGGGATTGTTTTCTGCCTTGATTAAAGTTGCACCATTTCTAAAATATGGACATACCTGTCATTATGTTTATCTTTTGCAAATTTGTAACGCATCCATCTGCTTTAGGACCTTCACGGACGAATGATAAAGGTAGGCTACGCCAGTGACCGTGCTGGTGGGACACGTGGAGGTGGATACGGCACTGGTAATTATGGAAGTGGCGGATATGGCGGCGCGGGATATGGAAGCGGTGGCGGTGGATATGCTGGCAATGGTGGTGGTTACAGAAGTGGCGGATATGTCAGCACGGGATATGGAAGTGGTGGTGGTGGATATGTGGGCAATGGTGCTGATTATGGAAGTGCAGGGCATGCCAGTGGTGGTGGATATGGTAATGCGGGATATGGTGGTTACAGTGGTGCTGCAGGCGGCGGCGAGTATTCTAGCATGAACAACAATGCTGTTGCTGGTGGCTATGGCGGTGGTGACGGAAGCTACAATAATGCCAGCAACTCGGGCGGAAGTGGTGGTAGCTATGGTAGTGGTGGTGGAATCTACAATAATGCGAGCAACTCTGGTGGAAGTTCTGGTGGCTATGGCGGCGGTGGCGGAAGCTACAATAATGCCAGCAACTCGGGCGGAAGTACTGGTGGCTATGGTGGTGGTGGCG